TACACTTCAGGATTTCTATTTTTATGTGCCATTTTTTTCTCTAAAATTACAATTGAACTGTGATTTAAATTGTGATTTTTAAGGTTTTTCCAAAGCAGTGAGTCAGTGTCGGTCTGGTTTTGAGAAAATAACTGTATCCCAGGCATTTGCATTTCTCAGCAACAGATAAAATACATTCGTGTCAGAGACAAAAGTAACAAAGTTTCTTGTAAATATTTGTTCCACTGTCCTGACAAAAAAAAAATGTTACTTGATAAATTCTCCACAGAGCTGCCAAAAATCCTCCCCTAAAGTCAATAAAAAGAGTACAAAATAGAGCTAAAAATATAGATTCATAACTCAAGATACAATAAAATCATTATTATTACAATATTTTATTTTACAAATTAAAAAAAACAAAAAACAAAAAAACATACATCAAGACTGTTAGGAAATATGTTTTGAAATGCTTTAGCAGAAAAATAAACTATTATTTATACATATTATATGGTAAAGCATCAAACAATAACTGATCAAAAATATCAGTGCAGAAAATCACTTGGTATCTTGACATTATTATTTATTAGCCCATTAACAAAAATGGAAAATACTAAACATGACCAAGTTTGATAGTTTCTCATTTCTGATCAGTATTTGTCATTTTGAAATTTTATAAACACAACTGCTTGAATAAGGGAATCAGGGAAACGATCTATATAATTTCATCTATAACTTAAGAAAGAAATCAAATAATCTGTGATGTCACACATATAGAGGAACCACACTCTAGCTAAAAGAATATATTACAGCGTCTCTGCAGGAGACCATGATCAGCAGTTTTGGACTTGTGTAACCTCCTTCTTATCAGAGCAGCCAGCTTACAGAGAATCCGTTGCACAGTTAAGTGCGAGCACTCACACACACAGTGTATGGACAAGGTGCTAGCGTCAGGCCGAAGCGTCCGTGCAGGGAAGGAGGAGGCGTTCCCTCTGGGTGTCTGAATCTGAAGGCCTGCAGTAAGTTGGTGACCGTGAGGAAAAGCTCCATCTTTGCCAGCTGCTCGCCCATGCACACCCTGCGACCTGAGAGATGAAGGGGTGAAATCATTAGAACATAGTGCACGCAGTCAAATGAACGTATAAATCAATGTTTCAGTCATATGGCCAGCATGAATAAGGAATCTCGTACCAATCCCAAATGGCATGAAACACTCTTTCCTTAACAACTTTCCCTTATCGTCCAAAAAGCGTGCAGGATTGAAACTGTCTGCATTGTCCCACACAGTGGGGTCTCTGTGGACAGACCACAGGTTGGGCACAATAACGGTTCCTTTGGGTATGGTGTAGCCTTTGAACACTGAAAAGGGAAAAAGAACACCTTATAATGCAGGAGCCACTGCATTACAATCTTGGGAAAGTAGAAGAAATCAAAATTTTTACTGAGAGATCTGAATCGTTGAGCATTAACTGACAATTTTGGTACCATGTGTGGAACCATAGGTGTTGTTTACCTGTTGTCTCTGAGGCCATGTGAGGAATAGCCAGTGGAACCACTACAGTCAGTCTTTGCACCTCCATGATGGTGGCTTCAGTAAAAGGCAAACTTCCTTTATCAGTCAGAGACGGGACCCGATGTTTGCCCACGACTTCATCAATCTCTGCCTGGACCTTGTCTTAAAACAGATCAGTAGGAGAAAAGCAGAATTTAGCACATAAATTGTACATAATGAATAAAGTCCTCATCTCATCACATCAGCAAAAATGAAGCAGATTGCAGGGCATTTCTGTGAAAGGAAAAACATTTGAATGTATCAGAGTGCAATAACAAATGCTATCAATGTGGTTATGAAACCGTTGGAGAAGTGGTTAAATTCATAATAATGCCAGACATGTTGATGTCCTAAAATCAAGAAGTATTTGCTGCACCAGATTTTCAGTTCCTTTTTTATCCCAATAAAAGTTTGCGGTAATTTTTTTATTTTTATTCTTGAAAAAGGGGGGAAAGAAACTTTGTAAGCCTAAAAAAAGTCTTGATTTCATCTACATATATTAATGTCACCTGTCAGTAAATAAATGCTGAAGCTCTGATATGTTGTAAAATTGCAATTATATTTTTAACAGTTATATTGTTGAAAAAATGTTATGTCATTTGTTGGCTTCATGCAAACTACTATTGGAAATCTAGCATGGGGGCAGTGAGCAGAGGTCATTTTTTTGTTTGGTCAATAAAATTGGCGTTATTAATTAATAATTTCATCAACACAAGACAAGAGTTGATTGGAATTATTTACCACAATTCTACTCCAATCCACTGTAGATCAGTTTTCCATAACCAAACCACACCAAAGTGATTAGATTTAACAATGACGTGTAACAAGTCTGCAAAGGATACACTTAATGGACTGTTGGTACTTTTACCTTGAACATCAGGATGCAAGATCATGTAGAGCAGAAACCACAAAACTGAATTAGTGGTTGTATCAGTGCCAGCAATGAAGAGATCTCCTATAATATAAAAGAGATAATCCTCATTGAAGCTACTGTCCTCGTCTCCAGCATCTCGCTGGGCCAACATCTCCATCAAGTACATGTCTACAAGATCCCGAGGATTGTCAGGATCTAGTGTTTCACGGTGCTGTGTGATAAACCTCTTCAGAAACACCGTGATGTCTTTTTCCACCTGCCGTAACTCCTTGAAGACCCCAAAAGGCAGATGGTAGAGCAGTGGAAAGACGTTGATGAGGACTGCAGGGCTGTTCACACAGATCTCCAGCCCACGCACCATCAGGTCCAGCATGGCGCGGAACTCGCGATCCTCGTGATGGAAGCGCTGACCCAGGATCAGCGAGCAGATGACGTTTGACACGGCGTTGGTGACCAGAGGAGCCAGGTCCACACCGGTGCCGCCGTTCTTCTTGTTCTGCTGCAGCAGCTCTGTTTTGATGGTGGTGAGGCCTTGCTGGATGCAAGGCTCCAGACTCAGCTTTCCAAGGCCAAAGCTTCGCAGTGCTGCGTGGCAGAACTTGCGTTGTTTTCTCCATACTGGCCCATAAGGTGCAAAAACAATCCCTAAAGTAAATAAACCAGAAAAGCAAACAACGCTCAGACTACTGACCCCAACACAGACAGAATCAATGTCAGTTTTTAACCTCATCTCTATTGGCCTTGTCAGACTGTAACATACTCACAGATACAAACTTTTGTCAGCAGATGACTTGTACTGTTTCCTTGCCAAATTCTACATTTGATAATTCTGGCCTTACAGTGCAAAAATGACTTATTTTGTCCTTGAGGCCACTCAACATTATCTTTGTCAGATAGAACAAGGGCACTCTGAAATCCATCCATCCATTCATTATCTATACACCGCTTAATCCTCACTAGGGTCACGGGGGGGCTGGAGTCTATCCCAGCTGACTTCGGGTGAAGTCAGGGGACACCCTGGACAGGTCACCAGTCTATCACAGGGCCACACTTAGAGACAGACAACCAAGCACACTCACATTCACACCTACGGACAATTTAGAATCACCAATTAACCTCAACATGTTTTTGGACTGTGTGGGAGGAAGTTGGAGAACCTGGAGAGAACCCACGCTGCATGGGGAGAACATGCAAACTCCACGCAGAAAGATTCCGGTGCCCCCACCGGGACGTGAACCGGCAACCTTCTTGCTGCGAGGCAACAGTGCTAACCAACTGCGCCAGCCTGCAGCCCTGAAATCTGGAATATAAAATGTATTTTATCTTGCAGTTGATTATTCTTTTTTCTGTGAAGCTTTGCTGCAGGATTTCAGGTGGCAAATACAGCCTCTCTGAAAGCTACAGCTTTATCAAGTGCAAACATGTACACAGGTATACAAACATTTGCTAACATATTAAAAGTAATGAGTCTAATCAAGCAGCCCTGCAATAAATGCATACATTTGTGGTGCTGTTGAGCTGTATTGAGTTTAGACTTTAAGGAGCTCCAAATGCTCCAGATTTACTGTGTCCGCTCGTTGTGGTCATTGTTTTGGAAAAATGTCTGCAATGCACAACAGAAACTGAAATTACAGTGACATTACATGCCACCTAATCCTGTAAAGAATATAAGTATTACTATTAATTCAGTTTATATCATGCAGTTTATATTGTTTGATTGATTGATTTGTTATGTGAGTGCCCTGCATTAAATGGTGGCCACTAGATATGAGTTTAAAAGACACGAGGCAGCAGAAACAATCAGCAGGTCACATGTCGAACCACAATGTGCAGCTCTGCAAATTTAAAAAGATAAACATTTCACTTCAGTTTTCAGTGTTTTCTGTCGTAGCTGTCACTAAAACCTCCTCCTAACAGAGGCAACGCAACACCTTCAGACAAATCACAGTTCTCGTTTCTAATATGTGTAATCAGATTACCACAAACTAACTGGCACACAGCATACCTGGACCAGGTAGCACTAAGAAAAGTGGGTGTCAGTGCAAAATATAATGTAGATGCCATGTGTAGTCTGTTGTGTGCACTTTATTTTATGTTACTTGGAGAAAACAGGATATATACAAAATGCAGGAAAGTGTGAAAAACTGTAGAGTTAACAGTCCAGAATTCATCCTTAATCATCATTCAGTCCTTGCAAGTTTAAGGATGAATCTCCAGCTTTTTATATGTCCTAAAACAGTCGTCACATGCTCACATGTGTGTTGTACTTGTACAGATTACATAAAACCTCATATTAGATTCAGCTTAACTTCCATATGTGCTCTTACTTAGAACAAGGATAATAAATTAGATTTTTCGACCAAACTTTATTTATTGTAGGGCTTCTAAGACTCCTAAAGTTTTTAGCGACACACGTGGAAGAACAGGGCTGCAAGGTGGCTCGGTGGTTAGCACC